TGTCGTGCAGCTGCGCTTGTCGGTGGTAAAGATGCCAAATTGAATTTACTTTTTGTTACCGACTTCACGAAACACTGGTATCGATATCTATCAAGATTGGTGTAATTTGTGTCTTTGAATCCGTAGAGTGCAAGGCAACTTGATCAGGGGTGGCATGTTCATTTTTAAAAACTTTAATATGATCTTGTAACTCTTTATGTTTTTCTAATGTTGTTAGAAACTTCATTTTTTCTTGGTTAAATACGGTCTCGCAATTTTTTCATGTCCGTTTTTCTCGTAAAATTACTGATTGGCAAATTGTGTTCGTTAGGAAAGGTAATTTAGTTGATGAAAAGGTTCTTGTGTTTTTACCGTTTATAAAAATATCTCATCTGAAATATATATTTTGTGTATTTACTCATATTGGGATGGAGTGGTAAAGACAAGAAAGCAAAATTTCAAATTTCTATGAATTTATGGGCGGTTTTACAGTACGAGAAGGTATATCTACGGATACATAGTATAGGTACGAAATTTACTCATAACCATCCTGCACCCACATACTTCTGGAGCAAAGTCGCCAGATTCGTCGATAATGCAATTTTTATATCGCCCAAATAATCGCAAGTCACAAATGCAAAATTTTTGTCGCATAATTGATCTAAAAATCGTCCAATATAACAAGGAACAGATTGAATAGCCCGTTTTATTATAAAATATGGATTTATACGCATATATGGAGATAGTTAGGGGCAGTTTATAGAAATTAACAGAATATGTTGTCATTCAATCAGCTCTTGAGCCTAAACGGCTCTCTTTAGCAGAAATATGCTTGGAACATTTCTTGTAGAAAATGTCTTCATCTTAAATTTTTATGTCTTCATAATTTTTCTAAAAACGCACCGTTTTGGAGATATTTTCAAAAAACCGTTTTTGAGCGCCATCTTGGCAAGATGGCGGCGCCGGCGGCATGTCCCGGAGTGTGCATTTTGTGAATTTTAGTTCTGGACACCCAAAACTATAATCCTACAAAGTTTCAAAACTTCCGGACTTTTTTCCAGGTAAGCCTTATTTTGGATCCCCAATGACTCTTTGGACCTGCTACTTACTGATGATCCACAGTTATTCACAGATGTTAATTATCTTCCACCTATAGGAAAATCAGATCATGTAGTTTTGAGCACATCTATTCAAATCATTACAGAATCAGTTCCGAGTCAACGGAAAAAAGTTAAAAAGTATATTGACTTTCATAAGGTTAATGAATCACTTTCACTCATGGACTGGGACGTTTTATTGAGTGGAGATGACGTGAATACCATATGGGAGACTTTTCACAATACTACAAATATCATATTAGAACAGAATACATCAATCAAAACATTTTCGGAAAATAGACTCAAACCATGGATTAACGACAACATCCTCACACAGGTAAAACGAAAACAGACATTATGGAAAAGATTCAAAAGAACAAGAAACGCCAACGATTATCACACTCACAGACGTTTCTCAACTACACTATCTGAATCGATAAAGAATGCTAGAATTTCATATGAAAGGAATCTATCAAAATTTGAAAACTCCAAGAAGCTTCACAAGTACATAAGATCACACCTTAGTTCTAGAGTTAGTATACCTATGTTGAAGAAGACGGATGGTGACATATGCAAAGACAACAAAGAAGTCGCAGAAATGATGGCAAGTACTTTCACAACATCCTTTAACATTGAACCTGAATTACCAAATACAATCACGATTAACTCCGTACGCAACCAGGACAACCTTTCCAGTATAAATTTCCCTCCGTCAAAAATTCTGGACAAAATTGGAAAACTAAAATCATCCTCCTCCCCAGGCATCGATGACATCACTGTCCTGTTTCTAAAAAGATGCAGCGAAAATCTAGTCTATCCACTAAGTATAATTATGAACCGTTCATTCAAAAACTGCTGCTTACCAAATAGCTGGAAGTTAGCATCTGTAACACCAATATTCAAAAAGGGTAACAAGCTCGACCCAAGCAACTACAGACCTATAAGTCTCACTTCAGTGGCTTGCAAAATCATGGAATCAATAATAAGTGATGAATTGAAAACTTTCCTGTTATATCACAAAATAATTCCGCAAAAACAACATGGTTTTGTTCCAAATCGGTCAGTTACAACAAACTTATTGGAGTGCGTGAATGTCTGGTCAAAACATTTGGACAATAATACCCCTATGGATATTATTTATCTAGACTTTTCTAAAGCATTTGACCGTGTCCCTAGAAAAAGACTTTTGTGTAAATTAGAACATTTTGGTGTACGCGGGCTACTACTGACGTGGATCCAGAATTTTCTAGAGAACAGATATTTTTGTGTTCGGATAGATGATTGCTTCTCTGACCAATATCCTGTATTGAGTGGAGTTCCCCAAGGATCTGTACTTGGTCCTCTGTTGTTTTTGTGCTACACATCAGATTTATCACATATTTTTAAGTCAACCTGTTCTTTTTACGCTGATGACACAAAACTTTACAACAACACAAAATCACAACATATATTGCAAAATGACTTGATTGCCTTATACAACTGGAGTTGTGAGTGGTTACTACCACTGAATATTGATAAATGTGTTGTACTTCACCTTGGTAAAAATAATCCTAGACAAAATTATACCATCAATGATGTGCAATTAGTTAAGGTTGAATGCCACAATGATCTTGGAGTTACCATAACCAGCAATTTAACGTGGTCACAACATATTTCAAACATATGCAAACGAGCGAATACAAAATTGTACCTCTTGAAAAAAGTTTTTCCGAAAACGTCACCTGAAACGTTCACTAACCTCTACAAAGTTTATGTTAGGCCAATCCTAGAATATGGAGGACAAGTGTGGAGCCCGGAGTTGATCAGAGATCGTAACATGTTGGAATCTGTGCAACAACGAGCAACCCGAATGTCCTTCGGTCTCAGAAGACCATCATACCATGAACGTTTGAATCAGTTAAGCCTGACAACATTCGAAGATCGAAGACATCGTGGAGACTTGATCCTAACTTATCGGATTCTTCATGGATTTCTACCCTCACTGAGTGATATGTTCCAGATAAACGATTATACACGATTAAGAGGACATAATTTTATACTTAAGAAGGAACATTTCAGGTCGTCAAATCGGCAAAACTTCATAGTAAATCGTGTTTTCTCGGCATGGAACAACCTGGATACAGACATAGTTAATGCACCCTCAGTATCATCATTCAAAAGTCGATTAGATCGTATTACTGAGTAAATTGTTTTTGTTTTTTTTTCAGTTTGCATCGCATTATATCTGTCTATTTTATTTCGAAATGTTCAATTTCTATTCAACATTTTTAATTGTTTTTTCAATTTTATTTTTAATCTAATTGTTTGTCTAGTAGCTATTTACATATATATAATAATATGTGTACCATACAACTATGTCATGTATAAATGGGCTTTTATAGGTTCACACCTCAGCCCATTATCACTTTTTAATAATAATAATAATAATGATCTCCATGGTGGCTATTGTGATCTCTGCTCCATTATTCCATTACAAGCAATAACCAGAGTCTAAATTGGAATAAGGTTCTTTTCGATACTCACTCAGTTTATAAATTGTGGGTTCCGCTCTTTCCCTCAATCCTATTATTCAACATCAAATCTTCCGTTCTCACACATTTCATGGCCTGAACCTATATTCCATGCCGGCCACATCATATTCTGTTTTCATTCTTGTAGAATTACGTTATCCCATGGAAATTCCAATAGAGTCAATTGATTTCCTGTGTTCTCACAGTTGGAAACTGCACAAACTTGCATCTTCCTCCTAATTCTCTCAATTTGTCAAACCTTTGAAATTTATGTCATGTACGTCCGTGTACTATCAGTTCCCGCTTTTTCCATCAATTTATTTGTGGTTATGTCTGATTGTCAGTGCTTGTCATAGTGTCCGTACTCTAATATACAAAAAACGTCGGAAACAGCAGTGTCAAGTACATTTAGGAACTCTATTGTATACATCTATACCTGTGTATGCTGCATTCGTCCAGCAGTTCAGTCCGGCTGCTCGGTCCGGCCGACTTCCGCCCCGGTCTAGTGCTGTACAAAAAACTTGTCTCAACTAGCTTTCTGAATGTGTCCATATCCTGATGAATTCAATGATATCTAAGGGGTAGATGGAGGTCACAGAGATACCTCAAAAACTATACACTACACTGTTTTACCACTAACCAAACCGATTTTTTAAACGCCTCGACACGTGTTTCGGTAACTATGTTAGCTTCTTCAGGATAAGATTTAAACTAAATATCCTATTCTAGTGTGCTGCTTATACACTAGGTATATGTTCACCCAACCGTGAAAAATACTTACCATCAAGTTTATGTTTGTCACGGTTGAGTTCACATGTTCATCTTAATTTTTATATTACTAAACTATATAGAGGTCTATATGGAATAGGTCCATTATTCTTATTCATTACTCTATTACTATTCTTAAATATCTCTAAGCTTTCATATGCGTCTCATTTTCAAATATTATGAACTTGATTAACTAATTTGGGGTTAGTAATATGTGTGTTATGATTGTGATTGAACATATGTTCGGCTACACAAGATTTATCTAACCTGCCATATTTCAAATGGGCTATGTGTTCTTTGAATCTTGTTTTTATGGGTCGCCTGGTTTGGACTATATATGTTTTATCACAATCATCACAACTTATTTCGTATATTCCCGACTTTTCAAGTGAGTCCACTTTATCTTTCGGATTGCCTAATGAATTGACTAATTTTGACCCAGACTGACCTTCATTAAAAAGTACCGGTTTCGGCACTACGGCCATCTTCAGACAATGGTACCTAAAATAATATTATTTGACAATAATGAGGACAAAACTTTGTGTTTTGTGTTGCTTCTTTTTCTCCTTTTTTTGAAATTACTTTGGACCACTTTGAGATATGAATGATTTTCATGATTTCAAATTAATGCCTGGTATTTTGTTAGGTCGAAGAAATATCTTGGGTGCTGCAGAAACTGGTAGTGGTAAAACATTGGCATTTGGTCTACCAATTTTGACAGGAATCCTGAATATCAAAGAGAAATCCATCAATGAAACAGTACCACAAGACCAGTCTGATTCAGATGAATCCGATTTCGATAATGCAGAAGAAAATGGTATGCTTTTGATATTTATATACTCTAATATTATTTCCATATAATTAATTTGAAAATACTGAAATTCTAATTTTGATCAAAATCTTCATAAACATTTGGATCAGCTCATTATAAGAACTCATTCAGAATAAAAACAATAATTTTCTATCCATTAGCAATACTCTTTTAAGGGATTTTTATTCCTTGCGAAAAGCTGCTTCACCAGATTCTCATCATCTACAAAGAATATATACGACATATTCTAAAATATTGTTCTCACATATGAAGTTCAGCTACCAGACATACTCTGATGCTCTTAGATTGCATCTAGAGAAGAGTCATTCGCCTGGTGGTAATACCTCACTCACTAACACTTTGACATCATTGGAACACCGTAGAAAGGTCGGCGTGCTTTCACTTTTTCATAGATAATACCATGGGAGATGTTCTTTAGAAACCTCTTCTATGATTCCACTACTAGCAATGCCAGCCAGATGAAACAGCATCACTATATCAAAACTCGTTTCTTTATAAGTTAGAGAAAGTATTCCCTAGAACTTATAATCTCCAAAAGTTTTAAATATCCCCTTTCTTTAATGAAAGAGAAATGATGATAACATCAATTTTATGTGGTGGGATGTGATTAACTCAAAATAAATATGAACAATTTACGAATATATACATGAATACAATGCTTGACCCAACCAAGAATTGTATTTGGTGAAATAGAGATGAACAGATAAAGAAAAGAATCTTAGGGAAGCAAGATAGGAAAGTATGAATGATGTGATGAATATATACTGGACGGGTACTGGTGGGGACGTTTGCACGTCAGCAACTAGTCCCTAATGGGACCTTTTTGCAAACCCTAAGGTGTTTTCAATGACTGATGTGGTTTGCTTAAGAGAGCTGGCTAACATCCTTTTCAGGCACCGCCCATCAGCTCTATTTCAGAGTTTTTCGGTTGTGTTTTGTAGGCTAGTAATGTACTCACTACCATATGCCGCAGTGGCAGGCCTGCTAGCTATCCTCGTTAACCCCCGTTAGAGACCGAGGTCCACTAAGCAGCTGGCCCGCTTCCACGCTCAGCTGGTAGTTTTCCACACTCACCTACATACACCGTCCTACTTCTTCTCTGATGCCCACAACCACATCATCTGCTCTTGCTGGGTATCCAACCCACGACTTTGCGGTATATAACTAATTTCATTTAATAAACCGGACTGATAATTACTCGAACTAGGTCATCTTAGATGTTCCAATTTTTTTTCTTCGTTTTTTTTTTCCTAACGAGTATGCCAGAGCCGTCTAGGGCCCAGACTAAGCCACTAAGTACTGAGGTGAATTTGCTTGTGTTCTTTTTTTTTTCGTTATATAAATCTCTGTATTTGTGGAATCGATGAACATTTTGAACAATAGTAACTTTTTTGTTGTAAATGAGTTACACAATCCAAATTTTATATTCGGACCCCCCAGGCGCATATCCAGCAAAAAATTATTTCAAATTTAGTTGAAAATTTGATATTATTAAAGACGACAAAATTCTAATTATAAATGTCAAGTTCACTTCGACCCGATGATCAAGTTGATGAATAAGTTAAATAACATATTTGTTGATAGTTTTTTCAATTTCTTCACTGGAAGACCCTCATCCAAATCGCGACGTTTCCACAGATTATAGATACTTTCCTGACAACGCAAGTTTGAGAAAACAGGACATAAACACCATAAAAAATTCGTTTGCAATTTTGGTTGTCATGCTCTCAAATGTTGAGTTTCGGCTTTGTCACTGAAAGAGTAAGATGAAACTTTTTCGCTGTCATGATTGCAAAATCACACCGGCTTGAAAAGAATTGCAGTTTTGTCATTTTTCAGCATTCAGGAAGAAATAGATTAGATACTACGTTACGTGTTGAATGAAATAAGATTTGTTTTGTGAATCTTGATATTAATTTCGATTGAAACAAGGAATTTTTTTCGATCGTCTGGGAGGGGGGGAAGTGATTACTGCCATTACCCCCCTCCCCGTTGTATACGCACCTGCTAACCCATTTCTTTCCATTGGCGTAGACGTTTTAGATGTTTATTTACTGAAAAAATCAAGTTATACGCCCATGGAATGACATTTATCATAATCATGATATGGGTTTCATTGCCCAATGAAGTTATGCCAACGTACCAACTTTGAGGAAAATCTCATGATCCGTTTCAAAGTTATGAAGCATAAACGATTTGAAATTTGTAACTTCAGAACCGTCTAGCGCCCAAACTAAGCAACTTTGTGCTGAGGTAAGTTTGCCTCTGTAGAAATGTTTTGGTCTGAGGAATATGTGATTAGTTTCTGTAAAGACCTTCCAAGGACACCCTGTATATAAAAATGAATGTTTGGCATATAATCGTAGAAGGGCTTGACCGATTGCACTAATTTTTTTTGTTGTGTCTGTTATTGTCAGAAGATTCCTATGAGAGAAAAATTGAGAAATTCAAGATGGCGGATCCAATACATTGGACGAATTTTGTAATTATAATCCGATTCTATTCAAAACTGGTATCTGGGGGTTTTTGGTTATGATTCTTTTGTCAAAGTTGGAAAATTCAAGATGGTGGATCCAATATGGCAGAAGAGTTTATGTGATTATGTTCCGATTCTATTCAAAATTGGTATCTGGGGGTTTTTGGGTTCGGAAATTACGATTTCTTTCGTCAAATTTTGGAAATTCAAGATGCCACATCCAATACCACATACGAGTTTATTGATTATGATCCGATTCAATTTAAAATTAGTAGCTGAGGGTTTTTTGGGGTCGGATATTATGGTTCCGCCGTCATAATTAAAAAATTCAAGATGGCGGATTCAATATGTCGAACGAGCTTTGTAATAAATAGTGTTTCAAAAAACTGATAAAACATGCTTTCATAGATAGCCGAACTAAAAAAAAATAAAATAAATAGTATTTGGAAAACTAAAGAGATATATTACCGAACTGAAAAGGAGTAGAAAATAAATAGTAGTTCGAAATTCTAAGAAAACACGCTTTTATGTTTAGTCAAACTGAACAGAAGTAAATATTCAACTAAAAAAATATTCTCTAGAAATAATGTACATAGCAAAACAATGTTTGCCGGGTCAGGTTAGGTTATAATCAATAAACTGACTCGAAATAATTTCAATATTTGGTTCTTCTCTATGCTATATTCCGAATTCAACTGGTCAGTACTGTCAGTAGATCCACTGACTCTGCTGAAAATCTGTGTTCCGAAATGTTCAAGGGTACTATACAGGGTTTTCCATTGAGAAAAGTAAATATTTCAATTGTGGATAGGGACCACTGAGGTGATTCCAAAAATGAATATTCGACATGTTATAACCGAGATATGGGATGTTCCATCAATTTTGCTCATATCTTCATTGTCTCATAACTTTACAACCAATATGTATATATTTTTGGAAATAGGTACAGTCGTATTCAATAAAATATCGTACAAGTATTAAAAAAAGAGGATTTCGGGATCCTAGTTCAAGTTGTGTTAAACTGGCTCAGCCAACCCTTTGTGTTTTTGAGAACCTATGACAACTTCACTGTCAACATTTGGTAAGCAATCATTTCCGATAGCCCGTTTTATGCAGAATTCGATGACTTTAATGTCTCTCTGTAATATACTTGTACGCTTTTTTTAATGTGACTGTACATCTACTCAATCTATCTTGCCGTATTGAATAAAATATCAACGAACGATTCTCGAAATTACAAAAATTATAATATAAAAGAAATTCTAATTTCCAACCTACCAAAAGAAATTGCGAAAGCAGTGCTAAAAAAATCTTTCAATATAAAATCAAATTATGATTAGAAAAAGAATAATTCGAATTTTCCATATTGAATCGGTATTTCATTATCCTTTGAGTACAAGGTAGAATGTATTCACTAGAAAAATTATTCGGTGAAAATTCAATTGAGATTTTTGCGGTCTTCATACACTTAACAGAATAATGTTTTCAACCCACTTGATGAAGATTAAACGTCAAACTAGACTCGTGTGACACCTTGTTTGGGGATGAAAAGTGGAAAAAAATGACATACAATTTAACAAAAATTCAATCAATCTTGAACACCAAATATGTTTTCAAAATCTTGACCTCTTTATAGAAGTCAAACCACCCTCCAATTGTTTTGTACTAAATGTAATAGATCACTTTCTATGTGTAAACATTAGACCACTCTGTATGTGTATAGATAGTTGTGTATATAGTAAGTAGATAGATGGGAGATACAAGGGGGTTGTTGAGAGGACTTTGGCTGCTTAGGCTGACATATATGAGTATTTGAGTTTCAAATAATATGACCATGAACAGTCATATGGTTTACATACATTTTTAGGTACAAGATAAACTTTAAAAGCTTGTGTGTGTACCAGTCATTATCAAACCACATTTACAACAGAAAATTCACCAATGAGTGAATTTGCTAATGAATTATCTCATATACTAATCTTATACTAATATATACAATCTAAATATATACTATATATGCAATATATGTCAAACAAATAACTATACCTTTTCAACTTCAATTTCGGAATCGGTGAGTTATATTTCGGAAAAAGTAATCTCGATTTCAGAATTGGTTAGTTCGATTTCAGAAATAGTAAACTCAATTTCAGAATCGGTGAGATGAATTTCAGAAAAAGTCCATTCAATTTCAGAAATGGTAAGTTGTATTTCAGAATTGGTATGTTCAATTTCAGAATATGAATCCTCATTTGTATATGTTTGAAATGATTTCAATTGCAAAAGAGAAGATTGTTAACAGTGGATGGAACGGTGTTTGAGAGTGTGCGCTTGAAATAGACATCCTGCAGATACCATAGTGGTAGTTCTGGATAATGCACCTGCACATTCCAGAATATACACCGTGTCCCAGCTAAAATGTCCCCCTCTGTAAAAAATCAACCGCGCGATCGAATGACTTGAAATTTGGTCACCCAGTATATTCGATGATGCTCACTCGAAATATGCTATTGAATAAATCGTAGGTATACAGGGTCACAGCGGAGTGCACCTGAACTTTCCTATTAGAATAGGGACACCCATATTATTCCATATTCGAGTAGAGTTCATTATCATAAATTCAACAATGCCGAGTTTGATGGTATTTTTTCAAACGACTACGAAGATATGCCAAAAAATAAAACGATTCAATAAAATAATTGTATGATTAGATTTTATTATTATAACACGATTGAAATCGAGTGAAAAGGAAATAACTAAAACCTCAACTGCTCAATATGTCCTTCATTCTGCTGCAAACATTTCCTAGCTCTTTTGATAACGTTCATTGTGACCCTATGTTTCACGTTGCGATCAATTTGTGCGCATAAAATTGTGATTTCCTCTTTCATTCCTTCCATATTCACAATTGTCGACACATAATTCATTGGTTCTAAATAGCCCCACAAATAAAAATCAAGTGGGGTGTGGTCTGGCAACCGAGCTGGCCAGTTGCTATCACCATCGAGACAATTGGTATGGTTATTAGATTTTCTCTAAACCGATGGCGAAGTAGTTTACGGGTCTGTAGTTATGTGCAGGACACCCATCATTCGATTTTAATCTGGTTATATTAATAAAATCCAATCATATAAATTTTTTATTGAACCTTTTCTTTTGCCATATCTTCGTAGTCGTTTGAAAAAATCCCATCAAACCCGGCATTGTTGAATTTGTAATAATGAACTCTACACTACACTGTTTTACCACTAACCAAACCGATTTTTTAACGCCTCGACACGTGTTTCGCTAACTATGTTAGCATCTTCAGGAGAAGATTAAAACTTAATTTTTATTTCAGTTTTTTTTAGTTTAGTTTTAATCTTCTCCTGAAGATGCTAACATAGTTAGCGAAACACGTGTCGAGGCGTTAAAAAATCGGCTTGGTTAGTGGTAAAACAGTGTAGTGTATTATCGTGCCAAAGGTTCCAGTCTTCGATATATAATGAACTCTACTTGAAGATGGAATAATATACTGATTGTCCATATTGAAATAAGAAAGTTGAGGTGCACCTCGATTTGACCCTGTATACCTACGTTTCATTCAATAGCATATTTCGAGTGAGCATCATCAAATAAACTGGGTGACCAAATTTCAGGTCATTCGATAGCGCGGTTGATTTTTTACAGAGGGGACATTTTAGCTGGGACACGGTGTATAGAAGAAATATGCATGGAGGAAGAATTTCAAGATGCTATATTTTGCAGATTGGAACCTTACAGCCCTATGTTCAATCCGATTGAACATAGGTGGAGTGCCTTCAAGTCAGAAGTGAAGAGATTTTTGCAAGAGCATCGCCAAAGGGTCATAGCTGAGGATCCGAACAGATTGCTCAACCAGTTAGAATTCAATGAAAATGATAACACCTCAAATGTGTTTGCATTCTTATAATCATGTGCAACGCTACTATCCTTCTGCGATTCGGATGGAAGACATCTGTGGATTATATTGAGATTATAATTATGTTATTGAATTGTTTTTGAATAGTTGAATATTGTAAATATGGTTTGTTAATCTCACATGCAATTGGAAACATTTCAAACAAATATAAGGATTCATCTTCCGAAATTGAATCTACCAATTCTTAAATACAACTTACCATTTCTGAAATTGAATGGACTTTCTCTGAAACTCATCTCACCGATTCTGAAATTGAGTTTACCATTTCTGAAATCGAACCAACCAATTCTGAAATCGAGATTACTTTTTCCAAAATATAACTTACCGATTCCGAAATTGAAGTTGAAAAGGTATAGATATTGGGTTTGCTTTTTAAAATTCAATATGTATGGTTTGCCTTTGAGTTCGCTAGGCAGTATGTTATAAATTTTCAGCCGTGTATGAAATATACTTCGCTGAATAGTTACATAGGATGTAGTAGGAATAATTCTGGACATTATAATTTATAAAATGCATTTTTGTGCTCCAGTTAAAGGAGTCATGACAATAAGCTGAACCCCAGGCAGACTCGATCAAAGCCCTATAAATATTGATAATGCAGTTCCTTTCCAAAATTTGTCGAAGTTGATAAAATTTAATGTAATTCGGCATTTTTTTGTAAAATCATTCTTTATTCGATTATTGAGTGTGGATAGTATCAAGTGGTATTTAACAGAACATACAGTGCCATCATCTGTTAATGTTCCTTGGTGACTTCGCTACAGCATGGGGTTATTTTGGGATCTTCATTTGGATACAATCAACTGACTCCGAGGGTCAATGTGGCCGTTTTTTTTTGAAAGATATTTTGAATATCCACTGACGCACATTTATTCACCTAGAACCTCGCAATGAGTGTTACCTAACATAAGTGTTATTCTTTCGTTCTAAACTAACTGAAATATTCCACTTGAACTGAATTGAATCAGTTAACATGTGTTCTATGTACATAATTGAAGTATTTCGAAGAACTCATGTTTACCTGATTCAGTTCATTTCTAGGGACATATTTAGGTTAAATACTCGGTTATACCATTGTACTGCACTTCGAGAAATAATATACTGTTACCAAAGATTATATTTCAGTTAGTTCAGATCAGTTCAAATTGAAAGAATATTCTGATTCTCCACCAGATGACTAGAAGTGAAAGCTGGAAGAACTGATAGGTAGGTATACTTCTTCTTTTCGTTTCATTTGCTCTCTTTTTACAATATCTTCTTCTCTGTTAATGTGGAAATTGCTCGTGAAGTTCCACATCGATTTTAAAAAACGCAAGACTGATGATGTCAAACCTTTGGTATTTTATATTTATTTAGATGAGTCACATAATTTTTTAGCAGACATTTTTCGAAAAAACAGGTCTCAGCCTTTAGGGCTATCTGACAAAATGTTGTGACCTTTGATTTTGACATAGACCCCATGTTGTAGTAATGCCAATTGGTGATACTGACAAAGTTATTCCTCATTCAAATGTAAAGTATTTGAACCCAAAATATCTTAACAATTGGTGATATATCATGTTTTTTGCATTTCTTTTACAGGGATGGGCTGTGTGAGAATAATCAATAACGTAGATATTGAAGAAACCCATAGGAATAAACCATTATATGCACTAATACTGACACCAACTAGAGAACTGGCCATGCAAGTGAAAGCTCACTTGGCTGCAGTCGCAAAATATACAGGTATTACATGTAATATGTCTTCTGTTCTATGTCAGAAAAAAATGATCAGGATACTTTACAATATAGATAGAAGAGATTCCTGTAGAGGAATTTTCAAGTCAAAAAAACTCCTGACTGTATCAGCAATTTATATCTTTGACCTTATTAAATTCATTATCAATCATCCAGAACATTTCGACACACATCGGAAAACACATATCTATGATACAAGACAAAAGAAAGGCTTCTCATATCCCATCCATGCAACATGCAAAATGCATTAATGAACGCAGTACTATCTATAGTGCAATGAAATTTTATAATAACCTCCCACAAGATATAAAAGATATTGTGGTTGCTGACAGATTTCTGAGGTCTGTTAAGGAATTTCTATGCAACTTAGAGCCCTACAGTATCGAGGAATATTTTCTGGCCTGTAGGAACCCATGAATGAAATTTTTATTCAAAACCATGCTATCTATGTGTATATATGTATTTATTGAAAAGTTATGTACTTATGTCTGTTTTAATCTACATGTGAAATATGTCACTTATTTTAAATCGTTTTAATAGTGTTTGAAACTTATATCCATAAACTCATGTGAATGTTTCATATCATTTTTAAATTCATGTATTAACCTATTGATAATTCTACAAGTTCTTCTTGACGTATTTCTCAGACAAAAATATTCTGCCACTTTTGTGAATGATTATAGAATACTCTGTTGAAATAAATTTATCTATCTATCTATCTATCTATCTATCTATCTATCTATCTATCTATCTATCTATCTATCTATCTATCTATCTATCTATCTAATACTACCAAGCTGTGCTGAATTCCACAATCTTGTCTTATAGGTATACAAATTGCAGTAGTAGTAGGAGGAATGGCAGCTGTCAAACAAGAGCGAATTTTGAGTAAGGGTCCGGAAATTGTTGTCGCCACACCTGGAAGATTGTGGGAATTGATACAGCAAGGAAATCCACATTTATCACAGATAGACAACATTAAGTAAATATTCCAGTTTGTATACAAATTTTGCAATATCATCTAATATGTACTGTGTGAGTATTCAGATTGCAAAAATCAAGCAAAAACCGAGTAAAAACTCACAATGTAAATATTGTTACGACCCTGGCAATCGATCCCAGCTACCTGCGGAAGTAAATAAACCGTATTTCTTGGAATAGAAATCGACGGCTGTTGAGATGACTCGAGAAGATTATCGACCTGTTCACGATATTTCGAGTGGAATCTAGACGTTTTATTAGGTAGTATAAATAGTTGTTGTTAGGGACAGGAAGGGAAGTCTTTATTTGGAAGCGTTATAATAACGATCGAAGAAGTGTTGTGAATCGGAAGTGTTTAGTACGAGTATTGTATAGTAGTGTTCAGAATAAATCGTTTTAAGTGTTCTACCGAGTGTTAAATTATTACGGACCCAGAGTAAAATCGTAACAGTGGTGTCAGAAGTGTGGATTTTCGAGGACATTTGAATACGTATGGTGAATACAAGGAGTACGTCATACGACACGATGGAAGACATTATAAAATTCATGAAAAATCAGTTCGCAGAACTAGAGAAACGACGACAGGAAGATGAGAAACGACGACAAGAAGAAAAACTAGAAGAAGAAAAACGTCGTCAAGAAGAGTTACAGAAAATTCTAGAACATCAAGAAAAAGAACGAGAACATCAAGAAAAAGAACGAGAACATCAGAAAATCTTCTTCGAACAAATTCTGCATAAAACTGATAAGCAAATGGATGAGTTGAAGACAGATGTCACCAGAATTGATGACAAGCTTAACCAGGAAGTTTCAAGAATAGATTCCATGTTCGATACAATCAAAAGAGATGTAGCGAATCAGATCGCCTCGCTACGAAGTCAAGATCGTCGTGACAGGGTTGCCACATCGGGTTCTTCCGTGAAACCACCAACTTTTGATGGACAGTCGCCTTGGTCTATGTATCGCCGACAATTTGAGGCTGCAGCAAGTGCAAATGGGTGGAGTGACGAGGAAAAAGCTACTGCACTCATTGTAGCTCTGAGAGGACCAGCTTTGGGGATGTTACAGTCGATCCCAGTGGAACAACAAAACCACTTCGGAGATTTAGTGGCTGCACTAGAACTCAGGTATGGTGACCAACATCGAGAACAGCTTTACCGGGCTCAGATGAAAAATCGTGTGCAGAAGTCTGGAGAGAGCCTACAGGAGTTCGAAGCAGATGTGAGAAGACTGACTCAATTAGCCTACCCAGAGGCACCAGAGGACTTCAAAGAACAACTGGCGGTGCAGGTATTCATCGACGGGCTGAGAGACTCAGAAATACAGAAGACTCTGAGGCTTACACACTTTAAGAGGAGTGGTGAAGCCCTTGTAAGATCTCTGGAGGTAGAAGCGGCCTTCAACACCTCTAAGCCAAAAGTGAGAGCTGTGTCCATAGAGGAGCCTTCCGAACACGTGAACCCATTGTTAGATAATCTAGTTATCTTTTAAAATAAAATATAATGTTAAGTATCTCACTGTACATAACAACGTCAGGCCAGATGACAAGAGATAGATTGTCAATGAATTTTGAATAAAGATAATCTGAATCTATTTAAATATATTATCGTATATCACTTATTAACATGGCGCAGTCGTAAAACCAAAACCTAATCGTTCAAAGCAGGTATATACAGAAATAAATAAATAATGGGAGAGCGAGGTATCAGTCCTATGAGATTAGATGGAAATATAGCAAATAACTGGAAGATATGGCGATCCCGCTTTGAGAATTATTTGAAAGCAACAGAAGTGAATAAGAAGGAAGAAAGTACCCAGTGTGCCCAGCTGTTACATTACATTGGAAAAGAATGCTTCAAAATTTACCGAACCTTTGAAATTCCCGCCGCTGATAGAGATAAGTTAGCAGTACTCTTGAAAAATTTTGAACAGCACTTCTTACCCAAAGAAAATCTTTCATATGAACGATACATGTTTTTCACCATGAGACAGGAAGTTGGTCAGTCACTGGAGAGTTTTCTCATCAGACTCAAAGAACAAGCCCAGAAATGCAAGTTAGAAAATTTACAGGACAGTCTCATCAAAACTATGATAATCTGTGGAGTTCGAAATAATGAAATTAGAGAAAAGCTTCTGCAGAATGATAATTTCACGTTAGATCAAGCAATAGAGCAATGCAAGATTTTAGAAACATCCAAGGAGCAATGCAAAGAAATTGAAGCAGGTGAAAATACTACATCTGTCATAGGTTCTGTCAATAAGGCACAATATAATTCACGGTTTAGGACTAGTTCAAATGGCAATAATAGGTTTCCAACGAGTACATACAAAAATAAAATTATATATTCTTGTTCGAAATGTAGTAATAATCATGGAATTAATGAATGTCCAGCATATGGAAAATTTTGTTCCATTTGCAAAATGAGAAATCACTTTTCGAAGGTATGTAAAAATAGAAAAGTGAATGAAATTGAAAATGATAATCCTAGAAACTCAAATTCAGATGAAAATGATGGCTTTTTTGTAGGCACTATTGAGATAGATGCAGTTGATAATCAGGGCTTTGATAATGTATGGTACACGTATATTACTATAAATAATATAGATTTGAAAATGAAAATTGATACCGGAGCAATGTGCAATGTATTATCATTAGAACATTTGAGCCAAGTTGGAATTACGAAAACTAAAATAATGGAAACTGACATGAAATTGAAATCGTATACTGGAAACTCTTTGGATATAGTAGGTGTTTGTAATATTTCTTGTATTTATAAAAAAACGGCATTTCCGATGGATTTCTTCATTGTAAAAACTAGAACACAAGCAATTTTAGGATTGCCTTCTTGTCAAATGTTGAATATTATTCATAAAATTGATGACCTTTCTGAAAAAATTAATTATGATTCCATTTTAAATCAGTATGGAGAAATATTTTCAGGAATAGGGTGTTTACGTGACCCATATCATATTAAAATAATTGATGGTGCTACACCAGTGGTACATCCTATCAGGCGAGTTCCATTACCGTTGCTACCAAAATTGAAAGATTGCTTAGCAAATCTTGAGAGTCAAAAAATAATAGAAAAAGTGAATGGTCCTAGTGACTGGGTAAATGCTCTTGTTTTGGTAAAAAAACCAGATGGTTCTATCAGAGTTTGCCTAGATCCAAAAGACTTAAACAAAGTAATCAAACGAGAATATTGTCAAATTCCAACTATTGATGAGATCACTTGTAAGTTGAATGGAGCGAAAGTGTTCAGTAGTCTGGATGCTACGAGTGGATTTTATCAAATATTGTTAGATAAAACTAGTTCAGAACTATGTACATTTGGTACTCCTTTTGGCAGATATAAATTTTTGAGGATGCCTTTTGGTATAAAGTCAGCTCCTGAAGTATTTCATGAAAGATTTCGATCAATTTTCAGTGAATGTGAAGGAGTTGATGTATACATAGATGATATAATTGTGTGGGGAAAAAATAAGATAGAACATGATAATCGGTTGAAGAGACTGTTAGAGGTTGCTAAGGATAATAACATAAAATTTAATTTCTCGAAATGTAAATTTGGTAAAAACAATATAAAATATTTGGGTCATATGATATCCGCTGAGGGTATATCTATCGATGAGAATAAAGTCAATGCTATAAAGAATTTACCGAGACCGACATGTAAAGAAGACATACAAAGAATCATAGGGATGTTGAATTATTTGAGTAAATTTATTCCAAATTTTTCTACTGAGACTACTCCATTGAGGGAGTTATTAAAGAAAAATATAATGTTTCAATGGGGATCAGCCCAAGAGAAATCTTTCGAAAATTTGAAGAACATTTTAATATCTAGCAAAGTTTTAAAATTTTTTGACGTTTCTAAAGATACAATCATTTCTGTAGATAGTTCTAAAGCTGGTTTGGGAGCTGTATTACTTCAAGATGGATTACCTTGTGCCTATGCTTCGAAAGCATTAACAGACACTCAAATTAGATACGCTCAAATTGAGAAAGAAATGCTAGCTATTTGTTTTGGATTGAATAAATTCAGTGAATATATATTTGGGAAAAAAGTCATTGTAGAAACTGATCATTTACCTTTAATATCAATTTTCAAGAAACCTCTGAACAAATGTCCAGCACGTCTCCAAAGAATGATACTGCAAATACAAAAATATGATATTGATCTTAAATACAAGCCAGGAAAACAATTGATAATAGCAGATATGTTATCGCGAGCTTATATCGATGATACAGGTGATGATAATTTTGATATTGAACTTCAAGCTCAGGTTTGTCTTATAACTTCACAGATAAATATAACAGATTCTAAAAATCAAGAAATTAGAAATGAAACTAATCAAGACCGTCAATTGTCAGAGTTAAAGAAAATTATTATGAATGGATGGCCTAATAATAGCAAAAAATTGAATGAATTCACGACCCCTTATTACAAATATAGAAGCGAGCTCACTATTATTGAAGATTTAATTTATAAAGGACAACAGTTGGTGATTCCTCAAAGTATGAGAAGAGAAATGTTGAACAAAATTCATTACAATCATTTGGGTACAAAGAAATGTTTGAAATTAGCAACTGATTCTGTTTTTTGGCCGAACATAACTAATGATGTCAAACAATTCATAGATAGCTGTTTCATTTGTCAAAAATACTCCAACTCTCAGTTATCAGAGCCTCTCATATCTCATGAAATACCAAGGCTTCCTTGGAACAAAGTTGGGTGTGACATTTTTGAATTGAAAAATGAAAAATATTTATTATTGATAGATTATTATTCTAAATTTGTAGAAATAGAGAAATTGCCACGAGATATTAGTAGTAACTGCATTATAACAAAAATAAAATCTATTTTCGCTAGGCATGGTATTCCACAGATTCTTGTATCTGATGGAGGTCCCCAGTTTTCTTCAAATCAATTCAAATCATTCTCCAAAGAATGGGAATTCGAACATATTTTTAGCTCACCCACTTATCCTCAGTCTAAT